TCGTCCGGAACATGGGTGCATTTAATTTATTCCTTCATCCGCCAGCCTTGTACAACGCCCTAGGCTCACTCAAGGCGTTTCGAAATGAATGAATACAATCTCATCAAATACATTGAAAGAAACGTGACTGGTGGAAATAGATACATTCACCAATGTGGGTGGGTACTTATAACACGCTTCCATCGTTGGATGTCCTCTGCCCATCCACCAGCAAGTCACCCAGACGATTTTCTTAAGAACCCTTTTGACCACAACCATAACTACTCCCATATCAATATGTGTTCCCCTCGAATGATTCTCGGCTTCTTCCTGTGCTTACTGAGCGTCAGCATGGTCGCCGCCGACCAAGGCACGTGTTTGAAAGAGTATATCAACGGGATCCAGTTATCCAAAAAGGCCTGCGCGTTCGCTGATCAGTCAGGCAATCATTGTAAGTCACAGTACTTTCTTGTTTTGCAGAGCCCACCTCTCCATCATGGCCCTTGCGCAATTTCCATCCCATTTTCCAGTGACTGACTCGATCATTTTCGTGCAACCTTCTGATCATATTGTTGGTTACAATCAGACACGGCTCTTTACGGGACTAACTGTCAATCCTTTACCCAGCCCGCATGCTGCATGCCCGTACGTTCGCCATATTTTTTACTCCTCATCCCAAGAATATTCATTGAGAGTTCTCGGAGCCTTTTTTCGATTCAGGGCCAAAAATTGGATAGTCAACACTGTACCATTGTCAAAGAATTCTAGCGATCTCTGCGACGCCGCTGGACACCATTTTCAGCTCGGTTGGACCCCGTCGGAAATTTGCCCGATGGAAGTATCTGTTACAACATAGATACAAAATAAATAAATGAAAATCATTTGTCAAATTGGATCGACATTTTAGCCAATTTATATCATCTGTTTATATCGTACTACGTTTGAATCTGTTACTTCTTTACAAGCACCATCTCGGGGCAAATCAAGGGGGAATCTGATCTTCAAATCAATGCCCCAGCAACCCGCATAGCTCCAATGCAATCATCGTTTTGAGCCAAGGACTACCAGACTTCACAAAATTGCTGTCTTGAGTCGAAATGATCTTTTTGCCTCGGAGCATATATACATATTCCCTAATAGCCCAGCAACTCCGCACAATTCTTTAAGCTTTGTTGTACATAGCCTCTATCAAAATCCGAGAGAGATGAGCCCAATCTGGTGCGCGTTTAATAGGGGATACACGGCCGTTGCGGGCGGCCGGCAAATCCTCACAGTCAGCTTTGACCGGCAAAAAAACCGGCCGCCGGTCAGCCGGCAATTTGACGACCAAATTGACAGCACCCCTGCCAACGCCCCATCCGGCAATCCGCTGGCAAGACATCGGTCCCACCGCCCATGTCGGCACATTGCCGTCAAACGCGATCCCGCGATCGAAAGCGGGCTCACTTTGACGGCAAGTTGCCGACCTATCTACAACCACCTGGAGCCGAAAAAAAAGGGTCGATCGAGCCTGCTGCGACGGCCACCAACCAACCCAAAAAGAAAAGACACACAACCAAACATTTGCCAGTACAAAAAAAAAAAATCCACCACCCGGACTGTGAAAAGTATCTTCATGTGGAACGGACAAAGCCCGCCACATCCATCTGCTTCATCGTTCCCCTGCGGCAAGTAGGCTCACAAATCCAGAACAGGTATCTAGACACCCATGTAGTCCAGCTTCTTGTTCTCATAGAAAAAAAAAACAATTGAGAAATTAGAGGGAAATGGGTTGTTGATGTATTTTAATAGTTATGGGAAATCATTAATTAGTAGTTCAACTAGGATGAAGATGGACAAAGGACAAATGTATACTTCAGTTGAGTAAATAGATCTCTCTATTTTCTATCAACCAACCAACCCAAAAAAAAGCACAAAACCAAACATTTGCAAGTACAAAAAAGGGGGGAAGGGAAATATGAGAGAGAGTTACAACAAAGTTAGATCGAATTGAGTCCGATTCCGAGCACGGTCTCAGTCCGTAACTTGAGTTCCTGACAGCGTTCGAAATCCACAAAGCTTTCAGGAAGTCGGAAGGCCAGCCAAAGATACAGAACCAGACATTTATGGATCGATTCCAATCTGAGCAAGTTTTCATTATGAAGCCGTTCCAATTTTATCAAGTTTTGTTTTGGGTGATTTGTTGTCGTTGTTGTTGCGGAGGAAGAAGAAGAGGAAGAAGAAGAGTTGATAGATGATTCGATGGAACCGATGGTTTGTTCGACGTTTTCGTGACGTAACCAGGCCAAGAAATCGACCTGCCGACGAAGCGCATGTGCGTTAGCCCATTGTTGGAGGGCGGAGATGGCCACAGGACTTCTAGCGCTGGCGGGGGCCGAGCAGAAGAGGTCACGTTCGGAGAGACTGAGGGGCAGGATGTGTTGGAGCGCGTCGGCGATCGAGCCCGAGTTCTTCTCGTCTCCGATCGCGTATTCTGGCCGGGTGAGGGTCAGGGACCTTCGCAGGTCGAGTAGATTGGAGTAGCGCACCCCGGGGAGGCGCCCGGCGTGCCAGGCCTTCGACCGTCGTGAACGGTGCCTTCAACACCGCCCGTTCAATCTTCTCAAACGGCGCGGCCATCGATCGGCGTAAGAGACTCATATCCGTCTCGTTCATCGTCAACACCTCTCCGACCGTCCTCCCTTCTTCCCGACTCTCTCCCGACTCCCCCGGGCCCGCATTCTTGGGCAATATCCCAAACCGTCCCGCTCGGCCGCCTATCTGCTTGATCTGTGAAGTGCTCAATGCAACCTCATTGCGACCGTCGAATTTATGCAGGGATTGGAAGATCACCCGCTTGATCTTGCTTGATGAATTCAACCGCAAATCAAATGTTAGCACGTTTTATTTTCAAGTATGAGAAGAGGAAGGAGATGTATGTACAGATTGAGACCCATTCCGATCGCATCACTCCCGACCAGGACATCATATCCACCTTCTCCTTCCACCTGACTGCCCAGGTTGAACATCTGCGCCTCTCTCTCTCTGACTTCGGGCGGCAGACCACCGTAGGCCATTCCGACTCGAAGGTCAGTGGCCGATTGGATAGCCTTCTTGAGAGCATAGATATTGTTGCGACTGAAGGTGACGAGACAGTCGCCTCTTTGGACCTTAGAGAGATCGCCCTTGAGGCTCGAATCGGCCACCTTGAGCGGGGTGAGACGTTGGTAACGGTGCAAGATGAACTCGTCCTGACACGAGTTAGCCAAGCTTTCGATCAGGCCTACGACGCTCTCCTCTCCGCAGAGATGGAGTTCCTTGGCTTGGACGCCGAGGACAGCCTGAGTCCAAGCATCGCCGCGGAAGTGGTCGCCGATCATCTGGATCTCGTCGATGACGACGACGTCGTAGAACTGTTGACAGGATAGCATCTCGACCGTGCAGCTCGTCAGGCCGGCGGTCGGTGAGGATATCCGTTGCTCCTCACCGGTGAGTAAGTTACATGGCCTGGGAGCCAGGTCGGGTGCGATTTGGCCGGCATTGATCCTGGTGAATACCTCGTGGGCGAGTAGTCTGAGTGGGCCTGCATAGACACCGGTGTGTGCGGAATGGAGTGCTCGGAGGGCCGAGTGAGTCTTGCCACTGTTGGTAGGGCCGACGTGCAGATGGATCTGGCGCTTGTATCGTCTGGCATCCGGATAGAGGTCCTCAGGCCGCCTGATGTCGATCAGTCTTGAGAGTGATTGGAGTGATGATTTGAGGAGTGGATGGATGGGTGGGTTGTTGAGTGAGGCTGCCCATGGGATGAAGTTGGATAGTTCGGTTGGGTTGGATTGTTCTTGGATAGTGTTCTTGGATGATGATCTTGAGTTTGATGGTTGGTTTGTGAGGTTGTAGTGGTTGATGAGTTCGGCTAGTTGTCTGTTGTTAGTTGAAGTTGCTTCAGTTTGAGTGTGTTGGAGTAGTCCTAGTGTTGAGAGTATCCTGTGGTAGATTGGGTTATTGATTGAGAATGGTTGGGTTGTTAGTCTTGATGATGGTGGTGGTGGTCTTAGTCTTGATGGTGTTCTTAGTTTTCTTGTTGTTGTTGTTGTTGTTGTTTTTTGTAGTTTGTTCTTTAACATCTTCTTCGTGAGAGGGTGATGGTCGAGTGAGGTGGCTGAGTTTTGGGGGGGGTTCAAGTTCCAGGTTGTGGTTGAGGGGGTGGTTGTGCTGCGGCACAGTCGACCACTGAATGAGCACTGCACTCGATTCTTCAAGCCAAACTACTACTACTACTACCACTCAACCCTCTCAAGATGAACCAACTCGAATACACTCTCATCGACTCAAACCAAAGAACAACAACATCAACAACAAACCAAGCAACCCAACTAATCGATCACTTCCTCAATCACAGATGGAACTCAATCATCAACCACAACCTACTAAGGACCTACTTCAGCCTAGACCAACACTACCAACTAACACTCACCAACAACACTCATCAAAAGGAAGAAGAAGAAGAAGAACCACTCATCAAACTCAGCTTCATCGCAACACTCCTCTCAGTCTATGTTCAGATCAACTACACCGGACCAACTCAATTCGAACTCCAACCCATCTCAATCCTCAACCAAACCGAAAACCAAGACCAAGACCAAGAAGAATCCGAGTTGAATTCGATCAGTTTAGAGGCACTATCACTAGCAGGCGAGCCAGCCTACCATCTAGCCAAATCAGCCACCTACCTCCTAATGGCCATCCAACTGATCGACAAGCTCATCTCGACCGTCGATCTCACTCAATTCCCAACGATCGTCTGGTGGAAACTGAGAGCAGAGATCCTACGAAGACAACTCTTTGATCAGCCGATCCCACTCTCCGATCAACTACTAAAACAGATCGACCAACTCTCATCACACCTTTCCTCAACCAACCACTCATCTGCCTATGATCTTGACCTGTTACCCTTGTTGACACTCGAAAGAGGTCTCGCTGAACATCTCACTGGGAACGAGAAGGCGGCCAATATCCTATTCAGGAAGGCAGTCACTCAAGCAAAATTGGAATGTAAGTTGTCAAAATGCCTAAATCCATCACCAACCAAGGATATCACTAACTCGCCAGTTATGCATCAGATGAACTGACTGGGATACCCGGAAAGAGGACGAAATTTCAGGAAAAAGAAATCAGTCAATTGGTCGTCTTGGCTCAAAGTCGAACTCGAAACTCGACAATAACAGCCACAAGTGTCCCCACTCCATCCACAAAAGATTCGATGCCAGTCACACTAGCCCTAGATGATGATACCCTGATGGAGAAGACCCAGTTCACTCAATCCACTGACTCGCCTTTGAAGCTGGACCCTTCAAACCAACCCAACCTACATCCTCTCGATCAAGCACTACTCCTAGCCCTCTCACTTTCGATCAAAAATACCAGCCCAGCCCACGGGCTAACGAACGCCCAGATGGCCCCATTCGTCGAACGTGTGCTCGAGAATCCTAATAATTGGTCGATCCACAGTATGGCCCTGCTGATCCGCAGTCGACTGGAGGCCCATCGGACCCGGACTGTCGAGCGAGGGCTGCTCCAGCTCCAAGCATTGGTCGACCAATTGAGCAAGGAGGCCGAGAATGACCCGGTGGATAAGGCGACGGCCTTGGAGCGAGTCCGTTGCACTTGGTCTCTCGCTTTGCCCTCGCGATGGGAGTTGGAGAAGGAGCTCGGCCAGAAGTTCAGCGGGCTAGGCCTGACCCGGAGTGCGATGGAGATCTTCGAGCGACTCGAGATGTGGGAGCATGTCGTCCAGTGTCACCTCAACCTAGACTCCAAGACGCTCGGGATCGAGCTGGTCCGGGAGCTCATCGAGGGCAAGAAGGTCGAGTCGAGTCTCAAGATGTCCCGCTATCGCTCGACGAGGGACCCCAAACGACTGGGCAAACTCTGGTGTCTTCTAGCCGAACTCGAGTCCCAGCCCGAACATTGGCAGACTGCCTGGAACGTCAGCCAACACACCTCCAGTCGGGCGATGCGCTCCTTGGGCGCACATCATTTCATGCAGGGAGACTATCCCAAAGCCAAAGAATGTCTCTTACGCGCCCTCGAAATCAACCCACTCTTTAACAAGACCTGGTTCATCTATGGTTGTGCGGCGATGAGGACTGATGATTGGGACGAGGCCGAGCGCGCATTCCGTCGTTGTGTAGGGCTAGACGACGAGGATGCGGAGGCATGGAACAATCTCGCCACGGTGCATCTGAAGAAGGCCAGTCTGATCGACGAGTCACAGGCCAATGAGGGAGAGGAAACAGATGTGAAAATCAAGCCACTGTTATCTGATGATGATGATGATGGAGATTTGCTCGGCACGAAGGACGACGAAAGCCACGATCTTCCGGATGAGGATCCCCAGCCCGGCTTAGGACGAAAGTTTTCGCGGCCGATGGCGGCATTTTACGCGCTCCAACAGGCGGTCAAGTTGTCGTATGACTCGTGGCGGATGTACACGAATTACATGTTGATCGCGATGAGTGTGGGGGAGTACATGGAGGCGACACGGGCGTTGGGTCGGGTGGTGGAGATCCGGGGGGAGGCAGGGGTGGACATGGAGGTCCTGGCGAAGCTAGTGAAGGTGATCATGCTCCAACGGTCCGATGCGGCCAAGACGGATGAGTGGAGTGAGACGGACAAAGGGATTAGACAGGCCAGACTGTTCGAGCGCTTGGTCGACGTCATCGACCGGGTCGTCCTGCCCAAGACACCGACAATGCCCGCCCTCTGGGAGCTCCGATCAGAGCTGGCCGAGCTTGATGGCGATCTTGAGGCCGCATTACGCTTCCAAATGGAGAGCTACAGGGTCGGTGTCTCGGCCACAACCGATCGGTGGCTCAGCTCACTAGACGAATGGCTCGCAGCTATCGAATTACTCAAACGTACAATCCAAAAACTCGCTCGTCTTGGACCCCTACTCCCTACTGTTATCTCGGATGAGAATCCTAAAAAGTCTGGCTTCGTTAATTGGAAATGGCAGGCTAAAAATCTCGCCTCCAATTTCTTGGCTAAATCTAAATCTACTTTTGATGATCATCCTTCTTTTGAAGACTTGGCCGACTTCTCAAAATCTCTTTTCTCTTGACTCTCTCTCTCTCTCTCTCTTGACTCTCACTTCTCTCGTCGCTTCAACACGCACACACACACCTCTACACATTTTCAAACTCATTTCTTTTTCTTGCCTTTGGTTCTATCTGCTTATAATTATGCACCCTTTCTTTATTAAACAACTCAGGATTTTTTATTATTAAACAAACTGTGAATTTTTGCCAATAGACACAGTTGGACTTCCAATAAGATAATAGCAGACAGCGGGACTTCCATACAAGTTTTATGTACAGACGTCAGACCCCCAAGCGTGCCAAACTTGAGTGGAAAACACCAACTATTACTCTCCTAGCGCGTGTCTTTGGTGTTCTTGATAGCGGAAGTAGATGAAGAGAAAGACATAAAACAGAGAAGATAAAAGTTTAACAGTTTTCTTGGTTTTGGAGGATCTAGCCCAATTTCTGATTTCTTGTAGACTAGGTTGATGGGCTGACTGCTGCAAGGAGCTGGAGACTGGATCTGAATCCGGAAGATTGAGACAGAACACTTGATGCCAAATTGAGCATGCCAATCGTTCGTACTCAGACCAGCCGGCGACGATTTCTTTAGACCGCTTGATGGCTGCAGATTGCTTTTCGGGAGAATGGGAGTCTTGATAGTCGAGTAAAAGCGAAGGATCCAGGCCCAAGTCAGCCCAGAGGACCTCGGTCCCTCTGAGTGCGATTGTTCCGCCACGATTGAAGAGCCACAGACTGAGTTCCCGGAGACGGTCCTGATACAGATGACCACAGGTTCTGTAGAGCCAGGCGCGTTCGGGAGACTCGAGCCAAGCCAGGATTAGATCCTTGCGGACCATGACCACGAGTAACTGGACAAAGACCCACTCGATGATCTTCTTGTTAGCATCCTCCAAGATCTGGTGCTTCCATCCAAATTGAAGCCCGTCTCCAATCAGTATGAGCCCGAGAGCGTCGAGTCCGAACTGACGAGTGGCTGGTTCAAGCTGGAATGAGTCCCACCACGGCTCAGAATTATGGATTCGATCCCGGAGATAGTATATCAATTTCAAGCGTTCCTCGGCTTCGGATTGTCCATAAACACTGCAGACCGCTTCACTAGTCTGCAGTTGGCCCGTCCGATCCTTCGAGTCCTTGACGTCTTTGGGCCCTCTGATCGGCTTCGGAATCTCCACCAATCCGAGCGGGTCTTCCGAAAGCCCAAAGCGGCGTGCAAAATACTCGGCCTGTCCAACAGTCATCATCTTCTTCTTAATCCAATACGCTTTCAGCACCCTCCATCTTCTGGAAATACTATGATACCGTAAGAGTCGGAAGAACGCATACAATCGGCGGGTCGATTCGGCCGTTCCTAGGGCCTTTCGGATCGCCCCTAGCACCGCCGATCTTTCCTTCCAACTCATCCCGTGGAATCTCTCGTATATTGTCGGATCATTGAGCACGGATTGTACGCCGGAAAGCCCGCAGTGTTCGTGCTTGTGCTCCAGGTTGAGAACGACGGCGAGTCTGGCCATCAAGCCGATGTCCAATCTTTGCTGCTCCCAGGACAGAAGATCGTCGCCCCATCGTCCGAACATGCTCTTGATCGTCGGCTCGGAAAACATCCGTAGCCGCTTCAAAGGAGTCGGTGTGGATTTGGTTGAAGGGTTTTGGTTCAACTTGGATTTGCTCGGTTTGTACGAGGGAGGTTGATGATGAGGATGCGGATCAGGAGGGACTGCTTTAAAGACATCATCCAGCTCTTGTTCGAGAGCCTTCTTGACTTCATTGGGCTGAATCTCCAACGGATTCATGATCGATAACGACGACGACGACGACGACGACCCTGGACTAGTAGGCCGGCGTAGATTACTCAGCTCATCCTTTTTCAATGCACGCTCTAAAGCCTCGATTTGTCCCGCATAATCGACCGGAAACTTCAGCGGAAATTTGGCCAAGGGGATCTTGAATTCTGGAGGATGTTGTTTCTTTTGGATCAGATCAAGGATGCTCTGTTCCTCCCTGCTGATGGAGGAGGTCACTTGAGAAGATTTGCTGGATGGCTTGGGCAGATATGCTAACAGTTGATCTGGGGTTGGCCCCTTCCCTCCACCCCCATCACCATGATCTGTTGCAATAGTCCCTGAAGAACCAGAACTAGATCCCCTGACATCAGGTTTTGTGTTGCTAGGATGATCTGTGTTTTCTCCCTTGGCTTTCTTGTCTGAGAGTGATTGGAAGCTTGCAGGGTTTCCTTGTCTTCCACTGGCCTTGATCTCTTGATCATCTCGTTGAAAGTTTTTATGTCTTAATAGGAAATTCTGAAAGATTTCACCAAGTTTATCCTTAAATAATGTAGCTTGGATGATTATTTTTGAGGGTCTATCTCTCAGCTGTTGTATTAAATTATTAGAACTTCCACCCTTTATGTCTTTATCATTAGGATTCACTCTTTCTTGACTATAACTTGATGGGTCTTTTGTGGCAACTGAACTCTCAACTTGATGACTACTGTCCACTTGATCAGTGTCTGAGGCACCAAGAGTCACTGATGAAGATTCATCAGTTATGTCAAGTTTCTTCTTCCTTTCTGATGAGCTCACAAGATTCTTATTTGTATCTTCTAAAATATTTTCTGATTGTAATTGAGTTATTTCATGAGAAATTGGCACCTCTTTTTTTGATCCTTGCTTATTAAGGGATCTTTGACTAACCTTGCTACTACCAGTGTGGATCTCAATAGGCTTTCTTGAACCGACTCTTGATCTCTCAGCTTTCTCATTCATCAAGAGTTTCTTGCTTCTTTTTGGAAAGATCAACAAAGGACTCTTCTCATCTAACAATTCTTTCTTCAATCCTGATTTTTCAATTTGAGAAATTGGTGTATCTGATGATCCTTTGTTCTTATAATCTGATAATGTGGTAATACTCTCACTACCAACAATATTGTGGATCTCAATCAGCTTTCTTGGATCAACTTTTGACCACTCTTGATCAATTGGAAGGTTCTTGTTTCTGTCTGGAGAGATTAAAATCTTCTTTTCTTCAGACTTTGCTTTCACTAATTTCTTGATTCCAGAGATTGATCCCTCTTCTAGTGGCTCTATGTTTTTATCTTGTCTGGTGTTATCACTACTACTGGGGATTCCAATTACTTTTCTTGACTGAAAATTTGATATGTCTTGATTGATTTTGAGTTTGGTTTTTCCTTTGGGTGAGATGAGAGTATCCCTTTGTTCTGAATGTGATTTCACTCCAAATTTATTTCTTTCAAAGATTGGACTTTCCATTTGCCCTGTAATTTTGTATGGTCTAGGACCATCACTACTACTGACAGTGTCCATTTCAATTGTTTCTCTTGGATCAACTTTTGGTCTTTCTTGACCATGATGGGTGAGCAGCTTGATGTCATCTGGTTTTCTTAAGATGGTATTTTCTTTTGAAAAGGCTGGTTTATGAATTTCAGAAGTTGGTTCCTTTTGCCATACTGCATTATTATCCAGGTAATAATCACTCCTACTAGTACTCTGTATCTCAGTATTTTTTCTTGATCCCAAATGCAACTCCTCTGGACCACTTTTATGGAGGAAAGTTTTGTCTTGGTTTCCAGAGAATCTTTGGATGATTTTACTGCCTGAAATTCCTGGAGTCAAGTCAGTAATTTTTGGCTTGATCCCATGTTGATCACCCATTCCAAATTGAAATGATGATTTATTTTGAAAGTTTTTGGTGAGTCTGAGATTTTGGATTTCTCCAGAGGTTATCAGGCTTTTTTCTTTTGCCTCATCCCAACTTGGCAGATTCCTTAGTAATCCTTCTTGAAAAGCCCTATTTTTTGCACCCTTGGGTACAGAAGGTTCATTTGATTTTAAAGTACTGCAACCTAATTGAGAATCTTGATCATTTCTCTCTGGAAATAGTTCAAAATCCTTAGGACTTGACTATGATTTTTTCAACAAACCATGAGGAAATGGAATCAATTTTTTTTTTTTTTGGAAATCAGTATCATTACATATTGTAGAAGTTGGCATATTCAAAATGAAGCAACAAATGTTAAATACCTACTTTCCAAATATCATCATGAAATATAAGAGGTTTCAAGAATTGGTTGTTGTAAGGGTGTGTACCTCTTTTGAAAGAATTTGCCTGCTATAAATGAAGGATGAAGATCCACTGTCAAATTTTAATTCACAGCTAATTACAATACCCTCTTTTTCTCCAGATGTTATGAATTGATTAGGAGAATTTCTGAGTACCCACAGGATTGGATTTTTCAATTTCAGACATTATCTGACCTTCCACTGCCCCCTTATTTTCTATATTTTTTTGGTTCTTTCCTTTTCTCCACTTGTTGAGATAAACTCCAGTCCCTAAAGGACTGTACATCTCTTTATTTTTCTCATTGTTGCCTTTTTTCCACATGTTGAGAAAAACTTCAGTCCCTGGAGGATTCTTCATTTGTTTATTTTTCTCATTGTTTCCTTTCTTGAAATCATTGAGATAAACCCCAGTTCCAAAAGGATTGGCAACCTCTTTATTTTTCTTGTTGTCTCCTTTTTTCCCCATGTTGAGATAAATACCAGTCTCTGAAGGAATGTTCACTTCTTTATTTTTCTCGTTGGTTCCTTCTTTAACCTCGTTGAGATTAACCCCATTCACTAAAGGTTCTCTGGGCCCTTGATTTTTCTCTTTGTTTCCCCTCTGCCGCTCGTTGAAATAAACCCCAGTCCCCGAGAGATTCTGCTTTTCTTTATTTTTCGCATTGTTCCCCTTATTCAACTCGTTGAAAGGAGCTCCACTCCCTGGAGGATTGTTCAACCTGAGCGCAGGAAGGTTCAACTTTTGAGAAAAATAGTTCAAGTACCACCAGTAATAATTCAAGTACCGCCAATGGTGTTCCAAGTATGCAGGGATATTACTTAAGGATTCGGGCGGAGAATGCCAGTTATGGATTGGAGAAGTGTAATGGCTCCAAGGTCCATAATGGTGATGCTGGGACAGTGCCAATCCTTCATCAGCTACATGAATCAAATACTTTTGAAATTCCAGGTGCCGAGCTGAATCAAAATGATGGTCATCATATAGGTGTTCGGGGAGTTGGGGGTGACCACCTCTGTAGCTCATTCCCTGGCAGTATATCCTTGAGCATCAGCCAGTCATGTCTAATCCCCAAGAAAAAAGTTCTCCACTCACTACTGAATCGGTCTTATGCATGCTATTTGATTCGACTTCCTTTTTCTCAGACCGGTAAGAATCTCTCCACGGCCCATGGTCCTGATCATCAGTGCGATACCCAGAGGGTAAGAAACGTTCTTTCCCTGGGATTACAGCGCTAGTCCAAATGGGAGGCGAGTCTACCATGACTCGTGAATTCTCCCTCGCCGAGGTTTCTATGTCCCTGGTATCTACTTGCCTCCTCTGACCTGGGCTCGAATCCATATCCAACCAGTCCACAACACGTCCCACGGCATCCGAATCGCATAATGTTTCATGGCGTACTTCACTGGTAGCTTGAGAGACATGAGGTGCTTTTTCGCAAGTGATGGTCGCACTGTTAGTTGTGTGTAGAAATGCTCTAGTCCGACTTGTGATAGCTAACAGCAACCGTAATATTGAGGATTGCCGAATTGATCGATGGGGGCGCATTTTCACAATCTATTGAGATGGGTTGAACAATCAGTGCAGCAGTGACATACAATTCTTGTGGTTCGGACTTCACTTACAACCACCCCTCATCTCTGGCCTGCAGCACCCTAACCTACCGTAAAGTTCATCCGCGGATGCAAAGCTTGATGAAACTTGTTTGGGTGCTCATCGCCTGCGTGAATGCTAACTTAAAAAAGTCTTTCCAACGCGACGGAGTGGGGAAGTACTTTTTTTTTGATACTTTTGATGGACAATACCAATGGCAGCACACTGCACAGCTATCAATAGAGATAACAGCAAGGCCCTTAAAAAGTGCATCAATAACCATGAATATGATGTGTTACAAACCTACACATGTGACACATGACATTCCAATGTATGGCTCATGTAATGGCTGCATTTTTTGATAGAAAAATCTGGTTTGGGAAAAAACAGACAATGCAATACATGTGTTGGGAAATGTTGTAATGCAAAGTCTCCACTCACTTTGGAGAGGGGGTGTGAGTAGGTCCTCCCTCTTTCTCATTTGAGCATCTGGTTGGTGGAACAGTCAAGAAGAAGGGGTGCACTCATTGATTTGATAGGATGATCTGTGATCAGTCACGTTTTAACTAAAAAGATATTTATACTGAGACATAAGCCAGTTCAATATTTGATTTACAATGCTGGGGGTTTGGATCAGTTAAATTTTGAGCCTTGTAGATTATTCTGAGAAATTCAAGCCAACTAGATGTATTGTAGATGTACTCTTTCAACCACTTCTTATGATAACCAGTTCTCTTTATCTCATCTCACCATTTTTTATCATTCTCATTCTTGAAAATTATCCATACTCACACTCAGCCTTTGGTCTGAGGTGCATAGTATTCTTCATTTGATGCTTCAATCTCATTATCTTTTCCTTGTGTTTGATTCATTTTGTTCTTCTCTCAGCTGTGCTTTTGCTGCTTGTTTCTTCAGAATGTTACTTTGCTTACATGCTTCATTGGCTTTCTCTGCTGTATCGGTGTGAGCTGTAGTGCTTTTATTTGATCTGATCATCTTTTGAATTCTTCAAATTCATTTCTACTCAGCTATTTATCCAGTTCTTCAGATTGTTTGTGCTTCAAGGACTTATTCAGCCTCTTCAGATTGTTTGTGCTTCCAATCCAGTTTTTCAGACTGCTGGCTTACTCAAAACCCTCATTGCGGTGTCATATCTCCTACTTTTTCCATCAAACCAAAATAATTTCTCTTGATAATAATTTATTAGGATAGATAATACTTATGGTAGAAGAATAGGCTTATGCACAGAGCAGGGGATGTTGCTCTAAAAGATTCCTAACCTGGGCTGGAAATCAACTGTCTTCTTCAATATTATAAAAAATTTGAAGAGGAAAATAATCTCAAAACACACTTTATTGCTGCTGTTATCCTATGCATGCCATTTTATTAAGTTTATTATTGACCATTTATCTACATATATATTTTTAGTTGACACTTTGTTGTTTTTAGTTTAACATTCCATTTTACTTATCTTCACTCTTCTCAACATCATTGACAAGCAAAGTGATCAAAAATCACTTTGATTGCAGCTGTCATTGTGATCCTGAACTTCATGTCAGCAAACTCCCTTATATATTGCTTGTTGCAGATAGAACCCTGCTTGCAAACATACAAAATTCTTGTTAAACAAGGGTTGAGGCAGATTTAGGCCAGGCTTGCCTACCTGGGGTATGTGGTCAAAGTATGAGCTTGTGCTGATTTCAAGTGAAGTATTTAGTTGAATGTTTGTTGACACCAACACCTGCGTTTTAAGTTGAACATGCATATTCTCTGAAACATTTATATAAGAGTGAGAGTGAGTGCCTCCCACCAGCCCCCATTTCCACACTGAATTGATACCTTATACTGCTCGGTCTTTGAGCCTTGAAGCTAAACCTTACAAACTGAGGCTAAATTTGAGCCTTTCTTCAAAGCTCCTAATGTGGACAGTGGACACCCAGAATTGAGAAGAAAAGTTGTGCACGCGATAGTACCTGATGGTGCTTTAGTTGGTGGGCATCAAGAATTGGATGCTCAGTCAACATTACTGAACTCACATTCTATCATCACCGATTCACCGGTGACCATGTGCACATGTTAGCGAGCTAACAAAGCTGAGTTTGCATACATAAATAGGTTGTGTCAGTATTCCTTTGTGCATATCGCCCTCATCTGTCGATAGCTCAGAGCCTCAGCGACACACTCTTTTGGTTTTTATTCTTTCCCTCCAAGTTGCATAGCTCGGGGTCCATATCATCCATCATATGGGATATAAATATAGCACCTCCCGACGCGCAAATCTCACCCCGACAAGACATCCTTCACCGAGTGCCCGTGATCTCGCCAAGTGTCTCAGAGCAGACGATTCCCTTCGTTCAAGTAGATAAATAAGTAAATGTTTACAGTGGTGATTGCACCCCATCCACGATAAACAAGTCAGTTATGCAGAACCACGATAGACTCATAGTGGATGATAGTGAAACCCCCACTTGGAGCCGACTGGCGAAAAAGATCCGGATTGATCCCTCCAATCTCGTTCCCGGACTCCCAAAAATCAGTCTCCTCGTCAGTGATGGCACTTTTGCTCAACCTTCTGGAACCTCCATTCATACTGAGTACAACGAGAACATTAAATCGCATCACTGGGAAAGGGTTCAAGCCGACTCTAATGTGCAAAGAATGTGGCTGAAAACACTGGGACAAGGACTCGCCGCACATTTTTCTATTGGTACGGAGACGAGTCATCATTGAACTTGGACGATGTGCGCGCAATACTTCTGTCATTGACCAACCGTACCCCATTTATTTCTTGTTTGTGTTTGCACTTACATACAACAAAAGGTCGAGAAAGAGATAAATTCACCTTGTCGGATTTTCCCGCGGGCTATCAGCTTTTCTATCATGTGAAGGATTCAAGACGGACTTCTTATCTCTTTGGTTATCCTAACAGTAAGCACCCGCATCTTCTCAACTCTTCTTGAAAATCAATATTCATGCCCTGATTCCAATTCTCATACTATTATAAATTTGATTACATAGAAAAGAATTTGAAGCTCAAGTTTAGAACGGCGGCCGAATTTTTACCTCATCTGACATGGCTTGCATCACAAGGAGGAAAGGACAACAACTGCACATGCAAATACTGTCAAAGTAGGGTGATGGCCATCCGAAAAGTTTTTTTTGTTTGTCGCTCTTTGTTTAATGAAATCATTTCGGTCTACTGTCTAATCCCAGGTGGCGCTTTCGGTGTCGAAGGGCTTCAGGCGACGACTCCTTCTACGGGTAGGTGAATTTACCCTAGGTCTTCAAACTCTCATCATCAACGGAAACTCGAATTTACGTTTTTCTTCTTCTCAAATCTTGCATCGTGATAGGTTCCCACTCGGTTGAAAGGGACAATAGGGAACATGCAAGTCAAGACGAAATTGAAGAAATCAAGCCAACCTCTCATAAATTAGGCCGCCACGAAACAAATTCGAATTACAGACCGCTGGAGTTAGTCTGGTGCGAGTTAGATTTCAAAGATTCGAAACTCCGTTTGGATTCCAAGTATTGGCCCGGAATATGCCAACAAACTGAAGTCAACATAGAGGCGTGTGAAGTAGTTGATCTCGCCACAGGAGAAAACCAACTTGCTCCGCAAATGATAGCGCAGAGGGATCGGGATGAGGACTCGACTACTTGGAAATTGAAGAAAGAAGTTCACCAGAAACAATATTGGTCGGTTCAGTTACTCGGCCTATCAGACTCAGTCATGCGAACGGAATCTCAATTGTTACCTTGGCTGTATCGCCCTATCGAAGAATCTGTTTGGAGCGTCATATCAACTGGGAAGTTACCAATCCCAGAGTATGTTCTAGACCCCAGTAAGCCGATGCCAAGTCTCGCCAGTCTCTCGAATCCAGTAATCGGTAGATTACATTTTCAACTTGCGATTCAGATTGGAGCGGAGATCGAAGGAGTATGGGCTCCAGCTCAGTACTCGAAGGCACCGCGCACCATTCTCGAGATACCTGATGAAAAGCAAAGTTTATCATCAGACAACTTCGCAAGGAGCGATTGTACGCAATGCAAAGCTGTGTGGCTCGGGGCCGAAAAAATTTGTACTCAAGATCTTGTTCGACTCAAACTGCTAGAAAACCCGCACCATACATCCCCTGATGTTGTTAATCTTGATACTATTACTAGCAAGCAAGTCCTATTTCTGCATATCAACTTCTTTAGGAAGAACCAGCATTCCAAATCAGCGATCGCGGGAGGCCGGATCTTCGAATTGGTTCCACAAAAAGCTTCGGAAGAATCAATTGCCGCCAGTGCACTCCGGCCATCGAAGAATGCTTGGTTAAGGCAGTGTGCTGACGAGGTACCCAAAGGCGCTATCTTGACGTCCCCGGGCGAATTGCCACCGGCTCCGAAGGGATTCAAGTTCTCACAGATTACGCCGGAGCATTCAATCCATCATCTCGAGATCGGTTGTATCGCTGGAAGATATTATTCTCCGAGGGTTGATCACGACCGACTCGGGCGATTGAGACATCATTTCGCGACGAAAACTGAACCAGGTAATCCAACACCCAACTCGGATGACCCAAAATTAAAGGGCCTTGCAAGCTTGCTAGGAGTCAGAAGTGGTCAAGAAAACTTCATGCGGTACGTACCTAAGTCACGCATGCTTAACGTCCTCGAGCTTTGATTCTTTCCATCACTCATCTCTGCCTGTTGCTTCCTTGTTTCCGTTTCTTTTGTAAACAGATTCACCAAGGCCAGAGCCTCAAGAGACGAAATACTACTCGAGGCTGCCAGAAAATCGAAGAAAATGGTACGTACGACATGTCAGCAATCCATGTTCTTTACCGGAAGAAAGTGAAAACATTCATAGTAAATTTATTGTTTCATAGATGTCAACTCACTTCCGACGCGTAAAATCCCCAAAGAAACAAAAAGTGGTGAAAAATCGAATTTAACTGGAGTGGTCTCATATATTTTTACCTTGAGAATCAGTAGGGAGAATGGCGAAGAAACGAGGACCTGTTGTTAGAAACATTTGCATTTGATTTTTTAATTCAAGTGATGATAAATGCATGAACATCAGCTATTCAATTTTTTGTTTTCTCAAGTCCAAAGCTCACGGTGTAATGTAATCAATCAGCCGCATGTATGGAGGTACTGGCCTACCATTTTTGCCAAAAAAAGCAATTGGCGGGCCTGGACCGCCAAACTGGCCACATTTGCGCCATAGATCATAGATGCCATCACCGCGCCCCCAACCTGCCAATTTTTCCAGCTCCTGCCAGTGTAGAGCTGGAATCTGTACCCCTTCCGTGCGGGTGTAGTAACACCAGGACATGACACTCCGGAGGCTCGCTTTGCACCGGCCTGACAATCCCTCCGATCGAGGGACTGGTATTGATTGCTAGTTTGGGATTCATAACATATTTAGGTGGGTACAACAAAATCGACAAAACAGAGGTCGTCGGTCTAACTTAACTAAGTCCCTCCTTTTTTTTCGGAGGGGGGACTTAGTTAAGTTAGGTCGTCGGTCTGCTTAGTTTTACGCGCTGTGATCACATAAAACACACAGACCCGAAACATCCAAAGCTGGTCTGAGCAATTATGGCAAGCTTCCCATTCGAACACGCCTCATGTAAATAACTGCTTTCCAGCTGACCACACTACCACTGATGATGCAGCGCTTCAGATCAGTAATAGTTGTAAGCTGGTGCAGAGACCATAGCTCGGGTACTGATGCTAGTGTAATGCCGGGCTCAGGCTCCGGTGGAGGAGACTACAGTCTACTCCGCAGTAGAGAGCTACAGCCAAGTAAGACTGTGATCCAGCTCACAACAGCTGGATCATGTTTACCTGCGGGTTTGGGATGGTTTGGATCCTCAACGAGGTCTTGTATTTTCACTATCCAAAACAAGCCTGACATTAATATGTATCCGCAGGTTGAGGTTTGGTGCGCTGTTACTAAAAAGGTGGTGCGTGTTTTGCCGGAAAATTGATCCCTCAGAGTGAAGTCTACATATCAGTTGTACAATGTTATCATTAAAATGACGTGAATACAAATCCTGAAGTTTGCATCATTGGTCTCCCCCAAAACATAACTTTCCACCTTCATACTACTGCTTGGTCCTTGTTCAGTCTCCACTTCTTAGAGACGTTCACTGTGAACTTGCCAAGTCTGCTCACCCTCATCAATAGCCCTATCTGGAATAAACCTAGTATTATTCTATCCATTTATACCACTGCAAGTAAAGCCTAGTATCATTATATGCAAATTATTTTGTATTCTTGAAGCAAACAGTGCAACTACCATTTTGAGTACTTTATTCAAGACAGTGATGTCTCCAGGATACCCAAGATTAAAATTTATAGTTCTTTCCCTGTTCTACTTCCAAACAACTCAATGCATGAATGGTGCTCTCAAAGGAAAGGGTGAGGCACTACTGGTAACAGATGACAAAGGAAATCGTATGTCATCCTTCAGCACTTTCCTAAACCCCCCAATTTTATTATTTAATTGACTGTCTTTTAATGATCAATTAAACCCATCAGCATTAGGAGTAGCAACTCCAATGGTCCGTGGAGAAACATTTCATGTGGGTCCCTCACCAAATCCAGAACAGCATTCACCTTCAGGAGACATGGAGAAATACTTTCACTCTGTGAAACAGTTGAGAAAGCCAACTCCTGGATTATACAAAGAATGTAAGCTCTCACTTTACATTTTTGGAACATGCATACTTCTGCAACTGATTTATTTTTCCCTCATCTTTCCAATAGACTTGGACCATGTAATGAAATATACCCAGAGTGAAAAACCAGGTTCCTCTAACACAGCTCCAGCAAACCTTTACTGGGCAACCATGTGGGCAACAGATATCTGGGAGGAATTTAATCAGCTGAACCAAGATCATGATAAAATGATCAATTCCGTTTATTTGATAGACTTTTTGAAAGGAATTCCGGATGACAGTTATAACAGGCATATACAAGTGAAGAATCGACTTGCTCAGAGAGAATTTCTGATTAAATCAGCCAAAGGTTTAAAACTTGTCCTCAACAGCTTGGATGATTATATAGAAGTTTCATTGAAGGAGTGGGCATTGTACAATGATTTAGACCCAGCACTCTTTACCAGGGAATTTGCTTCAGGGAAGAAGTAAGTCCATCGATTTCTGAATCATATAACATTGAAAAAATCTCAATTGCCTTCAAACACTGAAATGATAGCCCATCTTTTTCCCTAGACGTAGTCCTTCAGAAGAAAAAAGATCAGTAACTGGTGTGGAAAATACAAGACGTTATTTCCCCATGAAAGAACTTATAGATATTTATTACGATTTATACCGTGAATGTTCATCACCTAATTTCAATGAATATAAACAGGTCAATGCCATCAAAAGAATTTATATTCAAGCAGTTGAACTAGTTTACAAGCATAATTTGTTAAACAAAGCTGGATTCAAGAAGTTATTTGAGGACTGATGTAAACCTAGTGGCTTCAATCAAAAACTGTTTCAAAATTTTTACCATTCTGGAAAAGAGCATGAAGACTATTTTTTTGGAAATGGAAAAATTTTATTGACAAGAAGACATTCATCACATTTTTTGAATATGTTCCCACCATTGTGTTCTTCTTCTTACTTTCATCAAGCTGAAGATTTATTGACATTCTTGTTTCATTTTTCATTAAACATCAAAAGTGGATCCTGAAGCAAAGGCCAACCTTTTGTTCATGTTTCTGAAATCTGATTTTGAAAGGTACCTACCTGGTCATAATTTATCTAATTTCCAGAGAAAGGCAAAACAATGGAAAGAATGCTTTTTCCAAAAACATTCACTACTTTTTGCTTTGAGAAGTGAAACAGAAGGATATGTAGCTTTTGTTACTGTTGAAGAAAACCTAATTGATTTAATTTGTAGACCCTCAATGCTGGGCCAAGAATTGGAGAAAAAGTGAAGATTTGAAATTGATGGGTTGTATTCTTGAATTTGTTGATGAAAACTTCCTTAAAACACAACCAGAATCAAAAATACCAATCATCACAAGATTGCAATATCAATTTGAACAAAATCAAGTAAGAAATAGATTGAATCTAATTTTTTCTAGAATTCAGGCTCTGCTAGAGTTGGAAGATTTCAGCAAGTATTTGAATAAAAGCTTTCCCCTCAAAGAGAAAAAAGGAATCACAGTACCAATATCACCTCAGCAAGAACTGGAATTTATTGAGCATGAAATCTATAATTCCAAAATTCAAACTGAATACAGGAACAATCTCACAATGAAAACTGAAGATTTGGAAGGGTGTAAAAAAGAAATGCAGGATAAAATTCAATCTTTACAAGAAAAAATAGAAAAATTAAGAAGACAGACATACTCTTCATCAAAAAATTTACATTCAAGAATTGTGAATTTTTTCTAGGATTGGAAGGATGGGTTTTGATTCTTTCAAAATAAAGAAATCACAAAACATGTTTTCACCTGGGTCTGATTCAAAAATTTCTTATTTGAAGTTTTTAGATTTAATAATTGAAGAAGGCAGATATTTCAGATTCTTATTTGAATTCATCAAAAAAATTCATTTCTCAGGGAAAGTGGCTTCTATTCTGAAGGAAAAGTAACTGAAAAAACATAGAAGTTTCATATTTCAATTACATGGTGCTATCCCTTTCCTGATTCAGTAACTCATTTGTTTGTTTTTTCCATTGATCTATGAGAATAGCTGCACCTACAAAGCACATACTTGTCAGAATTCTAGACTTAGCTGTTGGAGTATTGTTTTCCTTTTGTTCTTCTCACCTTTCATCATATGTGTCACATATATTTCACAAGGTTCAGAGTATGTGCAAGAGTTTCTCTCCTCATCCTTCCACAAATCTCACACTTTATCCCAGGCATTTCTCCATTTCTCTTTCTTTCCTTTTCTCTTGTCTCTCTCTTTCTGTTTGTTTCTCTCCCTCATGTTACATTTAATTCAGATCATCCTTCCACAAACCTCACACTCTGTCCCAGTTGATCACAACCGATTATGAGCACCATTGTGCTGCAACAACTGAGACTCTGAGGTGTTAAAGATCTTTATTTTTACAGTGAAAACACTTCTTGAATGAACTCACCACCTTCACCATACATCAAATTGGAATATAATCATTCTTCCCATTTTCCATTCTATCTTTCTTCCAGCACTCCCACTCCCCCAAAATGAATATCAAAGCTTTTGGAAAAAAAAACAAAATTCCATTTTTTATTTTCCACAGATTTTGAAACTTTGTTTTTTTTTTTTCATATTCATTCTTTGGGACCTATTCTGCACCACTTCACCAATTCTTGTGACTTCAAGTTGGTGCTTTGAAGCTCTGGAATCCAAAACAAGCAGCAAGAAATAACGGTCCACCCACTTTCAATTGCATCTATTTTTGAGGGCTAGATACAACACTGGGTCACTACACTACCAGTAACGGTAGTGTAGCGGTAAAGTAGTGTTTTTTTTGTCACTAGCACTACTTTTCCTGTAGTGCAAACACACTACATTATCATTTTCTTTTTTTGCTGTTTTTTTTGGCCACTACATTATTGAAGTGGCTGTTTTTTTGTTTTTTTTTTATTTCGTTACGGTAGAGAGGAGATGACAAGAGAAAAATGACTGTTAGGAAGACAAACGTAGGAAAGAGGACCATTCATATGAGCAAGTAAGATGAATAATAATTAATATTGGATGATATTGAATAATTTTGAAAATGATTTTTGTGAAGAATAAAGATGGATGGGGTTGGGGACAAAGGGCACAATTGATGGATAGCTGCTAGAAGGTCGGGACACTTAAATGACAAGGCTGGACCGGTTCCAGCCGGTTCCTCATCAGATTAGGGCTGTTTCACCCCTGGATGGTGCGTAACACAATATCCAGGGGAGAAACTGTTACAAAATCAGATTTTGGTGGTCTCAAAAAGAGGGGCCCAGTTACGCTACAGGATAGTGCAGTAGTGTACTATCCAGGGGTGAAACCATTACACTATCAGCTTTTTTTGGGTTTCAGAAAAGGGTCCCACTACACTACAGCCCAGGGAAAAAATTTTGTGGTTAGTGTAGTGGTAAAGTATCAGCCAAGCAGCTGGGTGCACTACACTACTCAGATACACTGGATAATGCAGCGTAAAGTAGCGACCCAGTGTTGCTAGATAGGTCCTGAACAATACAAAGGAACATTCCACTACAAGGAGAGAAAAAAATCTCAACTACCCCCAACTGATCCATGCGCTTAACCTTTGTAGCTTCAATGCACAATGATCACTGTTTACATATTGCGCTTTGAAGAATGCTTGGACAATTTGGGAATTTCCAAGTCTTCAGGTTATGTGGTTGTGGTGCACAGGGAAGGTTTAATCCGGCAGTTTGTGATCACCGACTTTATTTCACAAGGGAGAGAGAAAAAAAAAGAAAAACCTGAACTCAAAATCATGGAATGCCATGATTTTGGAACAGCAAACTTTGATTGGTCCAAGCTTTCTTCAAAACACAATACATCCCAGAGTGAATTTGTGCTGAACATGTTTTTTGGGAGTATATGCATAACATGTTAATGCACAAGTCCAACTGGAAAACACACTTGAAAGTGGTCAACCAACTACACACTCTAGGAGCATTTTGGGATTATTTTTGGAGTGCACGCAGTAGTTTCCAAATTCAACTTGGCAAGCACTTATGTCAAGCCATTTTATCATTATGGCTGCCATGATCCCGTGAATTAGAACTCGTGGGATTTGAAAAACATCATGGTAACTATAGCACCATATCCATGGGTTTGGGCAGATGCATAATCCACCTGGAAACATTTGGAGGTCACTACTTATCAGTTGACTGCAAGTTACTTCTCAAAAACTCACATTTATACAACACATATTTCCGAGCATTAGACAAAGTGCATTACATGTATAATTGAGCAAGAGGCAATGGAGATGAACATGATAACAAACCAAACAGCCCGAATAAGTTAGGTCAAATTCAACAGTAATTACACACGATGTAAATCACAAACTATTACAGGTTAGAGGAGGGTAGAGTTTTAGACACTCATCACCATCAAGGTTATCAAATACTCGAATGGATTCGAAAGGATAGGGTATCAGGAGGAAGGCATTAGATAGGAAACTGAAAATGTTTGGACCTAATTACAAACCTTGTCTCCATATGGATTAAAATTGTTCCTGGGTGTTTCTTTACATAACTATTCAAAAAAAAAAAAACGAAACATAAGAGTTATAAGATAAGAAAAAATAAACCCCCGATACCTGGCTACAAGATAAACAAAGACCCGCTGTGAGGTTTTTCAAACAGTTGTGATGGTGGTGGTACAATCTCAGGTCTTTTCGGAATTTAGTAACGGCGAAATTGCTCAGAAGAACGACACATTACGAGAGGGGAGGATTTAAAGGACGAAATCGACAGCTTCGGGTTCGCTTAAGGCCGACAGGCATATCCTCGATTCTATTGAGCGCTTTGTCAAAGGTCACATCCTGATAATTTGCATCGTTGGCCTTGTCTTCTTTACGACTGGCTCTGAAATCGTGGTCTTTGGAACTGGTACTGTGATGTTGCTGATTTGTGTCGGGGACCTCTGCCTCCTGAACTTTCGCATCGTCAGTCTGCTCAATGTTTGAGCGAGCGAATGCGCATCCATTTTGTATTTCCTCCAATATCGTTTTATTGGAGACAAAAGCTTCCGAGGAAAGTAAAGCGTCAAGCTCGTCTGATTCGCCTAAAAGACGCGTGTTGCGACGCTGGACCCATTGCCTATAAGATTGCAAAGACGCCATTAGCCAGAGACTTAGCTAGCAACAGTACAAAGTAAAACGTACCAACTGCGCTGGCGGTCAAAGAACATCACCAGCACATGATGATCCATCTTCTCACTGGGTGGCTTTTTGTCAAGCATTGATTGCGGGACCGCCGGGTCCTCAGGAAGCCCCACTTCAGCAGGGAACCAAGGATGCCCAGGTACCTTCGCCTGTATTCGCGGTCATCAAAAAATGTGTAGAATTAAAAATATATCCACTTGGGTTAGAGCAGACAGAAAAGAACTAGAGCTCACCCAGACTAATGTGCCGTCTTCAATCGACCCTTCTTCAGGCAAGCGAGTGGCCTGACTCATTCTTGTAAAAGCATCACGAGCTAGGGGGTGGATGCGCTTGGCACCATTCTGGGGAGCTTTGGGGTATATGAGAAAACCGCGGGAATCCATTTCAAGTTCTTTCTCTTGTTGAGCTCTTGTTGGTTTCACTTTTTTTGCCGCTTTGGAGGTTTTGCTTGCCTTTTGCCCATTGCAAGGAGCCTCAAGAGCATCCTTATCGTCCATTTCTACTTGACACTCTTCTTGCGCAGCCTCTAAAGATATCTGCGCTTCGACCGAGTTGTTCAGATTTCCTTCAGGTGAGTTGGTGTGGTCGAGGGAAGGCGAAGGCGACTTTGAAAGCTCACTGCTTCCACTCTCATCGCCTGCCGAGGAGGCGGGTGCCCGAAAAGTGCGGTCTTGGTTGTTGGTCGAGAAGCCCGTGGGATTGCAATTGGAAGTGCTGGCCTCCGCAGATGTGTCTTGATCAATAGGGGGATGGTGGTGCAGGGTAAGTCGCACAGGTTTCAGTCGAGCCGAGACACGAGTTGTGCGAAGCGTCATTTCAGGTGATCCTGATTCACGCCGCTCGGCTGGGATTAAATTGAGGTGTTAGCCAATGTTTTTTCCCATGAAGGCAAACTTGTAAATACTTTTGCGAAATAAACTAAGAACTTACGAGATTGCGGGTGACTGTCGTTAGCCAAAGGACCCGGGGTATGACGCCGTGTCCTGTCTGGCAAGATAAAGCCTGTGTTGAAAAGCCTGAAAGAATCCTTTTCTCCGGGCAAACTAGTGAGGAATTCTGGTGGGCCAGCAGAGCCGGCACTCTTGGGAGTTTTGGCTTTAGTTGCTTCTTTCCCATTTCTAGCGACATCCTCCTGGCCAACAGTTGTGTCTTGGGTGCTTGAGCTTCCTGCTTTCCAATTGTAAGGAGGACGGTCTAGGATCAAACGTAACTTCGGACTACCCGAGATCGGAATGGGCTCTGTGAGCAAAGTTTCGCCAGACTGGCCCTTTCTTGTTGAGGTTGATGAATCCATTTTTTTGATCCGGATTTTCAACTTCTGTCTAGATTGCACAGGGGCGTTGTTTGCCGTCAAGTCTGAATTAACAAGAGTTTGCTGAGCGATTGGAGGGTCGAGGTCAGGTTGCTGCCTGACGGGTCCCACTGTTGGTTCATTTTGCGCCAGCGATAACTTTTTCGAAGATCGAGTAGAGGGGCGCCTTGGAGAACTCATGTGATTGACTAGGCTGAAGTCTGGTTGAAGGCTGACATCAGTTGATACATCTGGGGCGATCTGAATTGGCGGACCATCAAATCGAACTTGAATAGAAGCCGAAGGTACAGCAACTTCAGGTACGTTCAACGTAGTTGGTGTTCCCACTGGCACTGTTGTTGAATGTGTGTCTTCGACTGGGGCAACGTTAGGAGATAGAGTGGTATCCAGGGCTAATGGCCGATCTCCCTCCGTCGTCTCGTCATTGATATCCTCGTGAGAATTGAGGGAGGGTAGACTGACCAGCTCAGCTTGACCATTGGGTAAAGAAATGACCAAAGACATGTCTTCATCTGGGACCATCGCACCCGCTTGAATCATTTGTTCCTCGATGGCAATTTCATGTTCCGGAAGGTGAGGTAGGCTAGTTCCGGAGCGAACTTCAGCTTGCTGCACATCGGTGTCAGAATTCTGGGCTGGTGAACCCTGAGAGTGATTAGAATGGCCGCCGGGCTGGTTCGCTGAATCTGAGGTTGGTGCCTGCGACTCGGATGGGGCGAAGTGCTCTGATGCGATGGTAGGTACAATCCCGTCACATATCATTTCACAATCTTCGGGGGTATATGGGCGTTCTGACACATCATTGGCCATAACAGACGATTCCAGATATGCAGCACCTTGAGACACGTTAACCGACTGGTAAGACTGAGGAAGAGAAACCGGGACAGTCGTTGCTTGCTGCGTGATCTTAGGATGGGCAGACGAAACTACAGACGCTTCTTCTGCATCTGTGCGTAAAATCGCTGGTGTTGTTCGAGTTTCTGATGTAGGTAGTGTGGTCGCTTCCTCGCTAGCATGGCTGATTTGTGGAACACCATCGACTTGGTGACACAGTGCCAACTTGATCGGATCGATTGGAGTAACCAAGCTGTGAATGTCCTCAGATTTCTCATCAATTCCGGCCGACATATCCTCGTGTTTCTGCATACTCGTCCGGCTGTTGGAGTCTGCAATTGCGGTACCGCTGCCGGTGGGTGAAGATGCAGATGCTGTGCCTTCGAAATCGAGGTTGCTTGAGGCGCGGTTTGTAGACTCTTTGGGCAGCTCAGCTTGACTGGATGCTTTTTCATCTTCTGTCACCTTCCAAAGCTCAGGGGGCGCTGGAGGCGCTTGCTCATTAAGGTTGTTGGTATTTGATTGACTCTCGTTCGACGCAGTATAGCTGACATCCCGGGATAAGCTGGTCTCAGTTTCGTTAGGTGTTGTGGAGGCATGACTCGGATCGGATGACGACTGGTTGGCAGGTGTTGTTTGTGACCGTGAAGAGAGCCGGTGTTGCTGACGTTTTTCCCGAATGTACTCTCTCAGTCGGCGTCTTCGAGCCTTTTCATCGTCCGACATGTTACGCTCTCTGTCTTCAATACGCTTTGCATGTAATGCACGAAGCTTGAGTGATATCAGCTGACCTCTTGTAGCGTTGGGATTTTGCTTCTCAATCAAAGCTTCTTCATCTAGCTGCGATTGAGGCTTTATGCGTGGAGCAGCTCTCTTGAGTGGTCTATTAGTCGTGGGATCTGATGAGTCGGTGGCTGTCCGCCTGCGTTTCTTTTTCTGTGTATTTCTGGTCTCGCTACTTTCTATTTTTAATTCTTTGTCTGCCGATGGCGTGGCGGGATTGGAGATCCCAACAGAGGATGCTTTTGGAAGTGATGCTATGATACTTGACGACGGCTGTCGCACATTGCCGACAGAACTACCCGCTATCTTGCGAAGCCTTTCTTCAACGCGGCGATTTTGCAAATTGTTGGAAGTTGGTATATCACATGGATTGTTGGTGATGCTTGGGACATCTGGGTTCGAATTCAGTCCTTCAGAAAGTGATTGAGATGGTGGTACCAATCTAGCGGAGGGTGGTTCAGTCGAGGAACTCCGTTGATTTTGGGAGTGCATTGCGGCAGGAAGCAGATTCAGCAAACTGTTCGTTTGATTTTGGGTTGATCTCTTCGCACGTCGATCTCGGAGCACCTCATCATATGGTCGGGTCGTAGAACCTGGCAAATCATGTACATCGAGCAAATCACTGATTTGATCCGGAAGTAAAACCAATGGAATTTCTGCAAAATGTTCTTTCTGTCGACAGGTTGGAAATGATTCGGATGCCAGTCCAGCAATGGGGGAAAAAGGCTCAGAAGCAAGTAATTCCTGAAGCAGAGGCTCGATCGCTTTCCCAATACGAATGGCAGTCTTGTGATATATACTCGAAGCATGATTATAAATGCGCGCATTAGTAAGCGTTAAATGAACGTCTGACTGTCAAAATTCAAAAGGACAATTATTTAATGAAGGTGAGTGACTGGCTGAAACACACAAGGCATAGATAGAGAAATAGAATCAAATCACAAACAATGAATTCAGATAACCGAAAGTATTCAAATCTGTCTATTTTTCTCTGGATGGTGGACCAATTCATCGGATGCTTGATGATGTCGTAATAGTCGGGTACCTCAGTGGCCGAAACTGGATGCAAAAAATATTTCTGTTTGTCTGCCCTGTTTAAGAAATTTCGAGTTCAGTTCGAGCGGCGTGCAATAAAAGAGGGATGTTACTACCAATAGGGGCCGGGGCTTGACTCACTCTATCAGCGCAGTTAAAGCCAAGGAGATCCGTTGATAAACCGGGAACAACGTTTTTTCAATCACTTCCTTTTGTATCTCGGCCTTGCGTAGCTTAATTTTTTCACGTTTACATATCATAGCTGCCAAGTTTTTAACTTGCTGGAGGTCATGCCTCACCGCAACAAGTAAACCGTATTTTCTTCGACGATCTTCTTCATTTTTAGAACTGATACCTCCAGCAGCGGTCCAAGGCTGATAAGGCAATGATTATGAAATCAAACAGTCAGATCAAACACGTAGAAAGGATAAATAACCTGAGGAAAAGGTGGATCTACCTCCAGATGAAGCCTTTTTAACAACGGTGCACCTCTGCGTACTTCACGCTTCAAGCTCCAGTATTTGCAAATCATGTTCAGGATTGTCTTTCTATGAGCGCATCTTAGTTTGCTTGAGTATTGCATCACACGCTGGAATATCACCTCGGGTACTAATGGCGGCCCACTAGAGTAAGACTTGTGATAGGCCCGTGCGGACTTGGAAGTTTGTGAACCAGTAGCTAAAAGTTTTAGGGCTCTCAGATCATCCAGAGAATTGATCTTTTTCGAAGAAATTGCGAGATGAGAATCGGATCCCTGCGGGTCAAAAGTCTTCTTCGCGTCGCTTGAGTCGGTTGTGGTCGCGGGATTGTTGGACAGTCTAGCCACTGCGGCAGCTTGAAGGGCTTCAATGTGCCCTTTCTTGAAATAGAGACAGAGGGAGAGTCAGTATATGGGGCAAGATGGGGTGGCCAAGCACGCATGTCCACCGAGGACTCGAGAAATGAAACGAGGCCAACGGGTGTGTGTTTATCGCAAAAACTCTGACTTAGCCTGATACCATCGGCACCAACGTGATCAGCTGCACAACTATCGGGGCCTTCGTCCGTCCCACGTGCGCCGGTTGTGGGATACAGAGAACCAGCGGGTTTCATTTTCACGTAGAGACCGACCTCTTGGGCACAAGTGGCGTGATATGCAACACAACAGCTTCGATTGGCGCATTGAATACAGGCCCCGACAGTTTTCTTGCAGATGTAACATTTCTACAAAATAGCAAAGATGTAAGAAGAATTATTCACGATAATTCGGAGCTAACTGAAACTTGACAGGATGCGAAAACACGCCTCCACTAACCAACTTCCACCGCTGTTTAGGAATACATCTAACACCATCAACTGGTTCCATATACATAGCATTGCCGACACCAGTTTCCGGAATGTGGATCGCGCAGACTAGATGAGCCCACTTGTTTTCGGAAGTTTGTTTGAACGCGCCGAAAGAGTTCGGACATAGCTCGCATGTCTATCGAATGGATGTCAAGTAGTAAGAAGCATCAGATAACACATGTCAGGCGTATGGGGAACAGTTGAAGAAAGAGGTTACGAATAGAAACTTGCCACTGGACGATCGGGTGAGACGGTACATTTCCGACAAAGCCATTGACCCTCTGGAATATACGGTACCCCATAACAGTCTTGGTGGACAGCCAAATTACAACCGTCACAGAACACAATCGCGTTGCTGTTTTCGGTGTCCCCATCCTCGCAAATTGCGCAACGGCTGTCTTCAACAGTAATCATATTGGCATCGGGCTTTTGCACCCGCTGATTCTGTAACAAAATAAGGCGTTCATCAATAAAGAAATAATGAGAAAATAGAGTGGAAAGGGTCGGTAAGAGTCGAACCTACTAATTGAAACCATTCTTTCTCAAGTCTATCCATGATGATCTCAAACAATTCACAAGTCACGGGTTCTTGACTGAGTCGTTTACGCTCCATGTTGAGGGCTTGGAGCCATTTCTAGATCTGGTTCGATATGTGATAATGTCCGTTCTGTCAGATTACGATTGGAGATATGATCAAATAAACTGTAGGATTCGAACCCTGCTCATCCATATCATATTCACATCCCCTTTCGAGCTCATCTTCGGCGGGTTGGACCCAACGGATGTACGAGGGCGGCAGCTAAAACAAGTCCACAATTCAGGATAATCAACTAGTGCAGAGGTGAATCGGATCCAGCAGACCTCACAAGTGTTTGCAGAGTTGTATCCATAGTTCTTCAGATGTTTGCTGCACTGATCTGAATTAGAGAATGTAATGTCGGCTTCTGCAAGTGTCTTCGAGCCAACGATCCTGTATGAGACCTTCGGCACATCGATTTTGGGAAGCTCCAAAGGGAGCATTGAGTGCCCTATGCCAGAGGAGATAAAACAAGTTGTCAGGTTCCGTTCAAGCATCACATCAGAAGCATCAAACCGGGACTTACCCCCCATGCTGCAAAAACGAAGTCCTTTCCAGTCGCTGAGTTTGCGAGATGACCGAGTAATTCACTTCGCTGACTCCAGATAATCGTTGATGGGTTCCTTGGGGGGTCTCCTTGAGGCTGTAGGTTGGATGTTGGGCTTTGATGGCTGATGATGGCAAGAGATTATACCGTTGTGGGGGAAACCACGGTGACCACCCGCACCCCGGTCGCCCGGTCCCCGCCATCAACTATTTGCCTTGAGGTCAACTTTCCCAGCCGAGCATTGCATTCGAAGACACTACATACAAATCCCACCCTGTCGCTGGGTCACACCACTTCCACATTTTTTTAACAAAATCTGTATCAAAATCATGATGTTTACTGAATTTGCTTGGACAATGGAGGACTTCCCGTCAACATCTGCGGGTCTCCCAGAGCCGGTTTAGAGCCTCGAAATTCAAATCTCCCTGCAAGAATTAAAAGTTTTCGGCTCTAGATGGACTTCTGCGAGGGTCCCAGATCCGACGGGAAGTCCTCCAATATGGTGTTCAAAAATCACATGTTTTTATCAAGTTTTGTTAAAAGACTTGAAAGCAAGGAGGGACCGGTCAGCATATATTCACATAGCTGGGTTGGTCAAAAAGGGTTTGAAAATTGCACCTTAGATGTAAAAAATTTAGCAGATCTTGTGTGTGCAATTACATATTTCCACCATACCAGTGACCACACTTAATTTATTTTTAAAAAATTATGGCATTGCATTTACTAGAGTCCAATGGCGGCTTCGCCGCCATGATAAATCTCAATGAAAACCCATGGATTGGGGGAATTTACCAGAATCAGACGCAGTGAGGAGGTTCTGGATGAAGTGCGGGATGCGAGGTGCAGTGAGATCAGCGCAGGGCAATTTGACTTTACCCTTTTGGCAACACATGGCGAAGGAATAGGATTTCGATTTCAAATCAATGAGAGCGAGCTCCTCGGGCCAGTGAAGAGTGCTGCAGTGTTGGCATTGAATGCTACAAGGATTGAGTAAATGACTGGAAATGGGAGAGGGTGAGGAGTTGTTGTTCACACCTTGATGGTTAAGAGAATCCATAGGTAAATGTTATGGAAAATTATTTAAGATTTTTAGGAGAAGCAGGATTGAGAGGAGCCAAGTGACAGACAGGAAGTCACGGTTGCAAGGCAGGTCTCAGAAAAAGTTTAGCAACAATTGAAGCAAAGGCAACGTTGCGGAAAAGGCAAAAGAAAATTATGAAGAGAATACAAAGCGGAATACTTAATACAGAAAACAAAGCGGAATCAAGTGGTGGGTCTAGGCAAGGGAAGAGTTATGGAAATGGTGATAGACAACAAAACTTGGTCTAGCAGGAAAGAGGAAAGCGTGTATACAATGGACAGGAAAAGAAGAGGCCAAGACTATGTGAGAAGAACTGGTGTCTTAGCTCAAGACTGGAATAAGTATCGGGAAAGGGAATTGGAAGCAGATTAGGTGTCTGAATAAAGAAAATGATATGAAGAGAGTGAAAACAAAGGGGAGTCTAGAACAAAATATGAAAATTAATACAAGTCAAGCAGTAGGAGGGCAAAGACTATATAAGAAGATGGAATGTCTTTGGTCACGAGATGTATTGACCAACGCGCTCAGGTTGAGTAAGGACTTGACGTCTTTTACAAGATTGCACATTGCAATGCCTGGATAAAGTGCAAAAAGTGCCTTGGTTTGGCTTAAGGGTTTAACTTGTTAATGGATCAATTTTGAATAGTGGTGTTCAAAGTTGGGCATAAATGAGTACATAAACATAAATTGATAAATAGGTTTTTTACAGAACTGCTTACATAATACATTCCTCAATGCAGGACCCTGGCAAGCTCTCAAAATGTGGGTGATGTAGACCCAGATGAACAAACCCCAACTTGACTTTCGACCATACATGTAAATAGGATCATTGAACATGGGGACATTTACAAGGAAAACGTGCATCTTGTACATGTATTCATCAGCTGTGAAGTTGCACCAGTGACCCTTGAGAAGCCAAAAACTAAAAAGAAAAAATGTTTGAATCCAAAATTCATACTTTTTTTTTCTAGTTTTTGGCTTCTCAAGGGTCACTGGTGCAACTTCACAACTAATGACTACATGTACAAGATGCACCTTGTCCTTGTACATGTCCTGATGTGAGAACCATCCCAATTTGATGTATTGAAAGTCAAGTTGGATTTTTGTTCATCTGGGTCTACATCACCCACATATTTGGGGGTTTCCAGGGTCCTCTCAACGTGTTCATGAACAAAGATTTATTGATGAAATTATGTTTACTTGAGTTTCAGGGCGGTGTGGAAAGCACGGCGCGCCCTAGGAGTTTTCTTGCACTTCTCCGCTCCGCAACGCGTCCTACTCCGGTTTTGTTGTCCGGGGTAACTTGCTTGATGGTCTTGTAGGTAGGTAAACTAGTTCTCTTTTATTGATCTTTTGTAGGTAATACACTAACTCTACTCTATCTCTAACAATTCTTTAGGCTAATACACGATTCACTCCTAAGTCACTCTGTTTTTCTGATATGTTCTGAGTCCCCTTCCCCCCCCTCTCTCTCCTCTTCTGCCTCGAACTCCTCTCCTCCTAGGTATCCCACACTCCAGTCCCTTCCTACTTCCCGCGATGTCATCAGCTGTCACCCCCTCGGACTCCGCATGTCACCCTCCGACGCCTGTCGGTCCAAGTACTCCTCCGGCCGCTCCTAAGCAGGTCTCCCACCGCCGCTTCTGCCTCTGGTCCGCTCCGAACCCCGCTTCTGCCCCTCGGTGCTCCCCGCTCCTTTGTAGCCTCTCCGCAGTATACACTGAACCCCCGTTCCGCAGTCGGCCGTGATCCCCCGCGTCCGCCGATGCCCGAATTCCCCGCAGTAAGCTTTTCAGAACCTTGTGCATTCGGTCTACCTTTCTCCGCTTTCCCGCGCCTTGGAAAGCTAGACTTTCCACTAATGCACGGCCGCTTTCCTCAGCCCGCTTGTGTAGCGTCAGCTCCGCGTGCTTTCCGCATCAGCGCCGCGAGCATTCCGCATGCCCCAAACAAACCGGCCAAAGCTTTGGCCAAGGCGCGCTCCCGCCACCACATCCCCCCAACGCTTAAAATCCTGTCCCCAGGATCCTCTTCTCCCCAACTTCCTTCCCATTCCCCCGTCTTCCCACCATGTCCACCTGCTCCAACTGTCAAAGCCGTAACGCTACGTGCATCCGCGAGTCCTCGAACCATGCGTGTGACTTCTGTCGCAAAGCCAAACGCCGCTGCTCTCTAGTCCAGCATCCGTCCGACCAATCTCGTCGCCGCACCCGCGCTAACGAGTCCTAATTCCCACGGTCGT